TTATACATATATATATGTGTATAAGAGAGAGTATATATATATATATATATATATATATATATATATATATATATATAATTTATCCTATCCATACCTAAAAATGAAAGAAAAGAATGAGACCTTTCTGTAAACTTAGATTTAATTTAATATCCTTCTTGAAATGTGTGTGCGGGGAAAATTACTCTTTCTAGTTATTACTTGTTGCCGTTAATGGATATGAGGTTTGGGTGGCGGTTAAAACACATGCCGATGATTTTAGCTACACGGCCGCGAGAAAACCGCTCTTAGGCGACCGTTTCGTCCCAGCTTTCGTCCCGACCGAAAGACTCCCTGGGCGGTGGGAGTGGTAACACAACACCTACCCCTCGGAGTGGAAGCAAACCCGCCCAGACCCATGGGAGAGTGGACCGCGAACGCTTTAAACGCAGCGTTTTCGGTCGACCGGACGTCCCCAAGGCCAGTGGGGAGGTTCCAGGTATGTTTCCGCACGGTCTGGCGGCGGGGAAACCCGGCGTCTGGCCCTTGTCGAGGCTTGCCAGGGGGAGGGGCGGGTATTAAGAGCTCGCGCTCGACGACCCACTGGCTCCATTTCCCAATGTGACGGATAGACCAGCCTCGAATAGAGTCGATATTGTAACTTAAATCTACTCATATTTGAGTATGGACTATAAAAGACATTTAGAAATTAAAATAAGAAACATATAATTTTGATCTATCGACTAATAAATAATTAAAAACCAAAAGACCGGGGGAGGGGGGGGACTTCGACGTCAGCATAAAAGAATCCCTGCTGCAGCCCCCCCCCCCCCCCCACCCCCAAAACATATAATTTTGACCTAGCAACTAATAAAAAATTAAAAACCAAAAGACCGGGGGGGGGGGGGGACTTCGACGTCAGCATAAAAGAATCCCTGCTGCAGCCCCCCCCCCCCAACCCCCCATTTCAGCGACAAACCATCAACAGAATAAATTTTTTTTGGTGTATCCGCAGGAGCAAACGGAACAAGATTGCAGGGGCCAAAATAATTTTTATCTCTCAAACTAACGGGCCACAACCACATCAACCCCGAGAGACTACGGCAGAGCCCCCACCCCTCCCCCCGTGACACCATCCTTATAGACAACATCCTCAGAACCAGTGACAGAACTACACCCCATAGCTTGAAGGTCTCGCCACGGAACGGTGACTTCGACAGGGCTTATTGGTACGTGTCAAACTGTGGATGTCATCCTAAATGATCACCATGTTGCGGCCTGAACATTTCATCGTCTGGGCCACATTTTATTTCAACTCAATCACAAGGATATTCAGTGCAAACTGTCCTTTTCAACAACAACAAAAATCAGAGTTCTCTAAAAATTACTTTAGCAATTTGAAAATTATTGGTATTATTAGAGAAGCATTAAACATAATTTTTAATAACCAAACTTCATGATTTCTTGTATGATGATGTACTCTTTTGTATTATTATCCCTAATAATACTTAATTCCGTAAGTTCCTACTAAAAAAATAAAATCAATCAAACAGGTACCTTTGGCAAACTTTGGCACCTGTCACTATATTTTACATCATAAAGTGGTATGGGGAAACTGTCCACTGAATCAGTATGGTAATGTGATGATATTTTGTACACTAACTAATGATAGGTTAAAAATAAATAAGCAGGAAATGTATTTCTCAACTTTTTAAATCTTGTTTGTTGCATGTTATTACCTTGCACACATTCCCCAGCTTGTATTATTTTACCAGTCATTTACTTGGAACTCTTTCAATGTTAAAATTCATGTTATAAAACATCGTCTGGAAATAAGTGCATACTTAAAAGTGTATTTCTATTTACTTGAATTATCCATGCACATACATACCTTGCTAAATTTGATGCTAATTATTTATTTGATATTTTAATACATACTATTATTTCCCCCTGCCATATGTATGCCATAAAGTTAAAAAGATTGTGTGACTTACCATCATCTAGTATGTAATACTTGTACTATACTCTTGGAATGCTATAGTCAGACGAGGACAGTGCACGGCAGACATGATAAACAACTAAAACATCTTTCCTGTAAGCTAGCGAGACGTGGACAGTTCACAGCAGGCATGCTAGACAACTATACCATCTCCACCTCCGTTGTCTAGGCAAACTTCTTGGCATTACGTGGCAGGACAGAAGTCCTACAACAGGCTGACTTAAATCAGCATCCACACGCTCCTACAAAAAGAACAAGCCAGATGGACAGGTCATGCTGCTAGAATCTCAGACAGCAAACCTCCTAAACAACTTAAGTACAGTGAACTCTTCAGAGGAAAACGCTCAGCTGGTGGTAAGGGAGAAAAACCCAACGTTTTAAGGCTTTCTAAAAAGCTTCACTGAAATCCACAGACAACGACCTGAATACATGGTGAAAACATGCTACGGATCGTACAAACTGGAGAGGCAGACTCACTGTTGGAGCACAATCCTAAGAGAATTGAATAAGCGGACCTCTCACGCCCAAAGAAAGCGCAAAGCAAGAAAAAAACAGAATCGACTCCAATCAAATTAGGACTCCAAACAGGCGGGAAAGCTTTTCAGGCACAAAAAGGACTGGAAAGCCACCTGCGTACTCACCTTTGAATAAAGCCTTGGTCGTCTTTGCATGTGAAGGATGAACAACACGATATAGATGCTGATGACTACCGATGAAAGACACTCTCACTAAAATTTATATATTAAGTACAATTCTTTATCTTCTAAACATTTTGCGACGTTTTCATTCATGCCTTTATCATCAGTATAGTTCAGTGTAGATTTTAATTTAAAAATAACTAACCATATTCTTTAAAAATAAAGATATATAAGTAACTTTTTTTTTTTTAGCAAATGCAGTACAATGCATGGTAAAATGGGGATGGGACATTAGAATATAAATTCTAGTCCAGGAAGCGTGAAATTCTATCAACATTTAATTTGGAAAGGGGTAAATTTTAATATCCCAATAGCGCCAAACCCAAATAAGTTACAGAAACCAATTTTCTAATGGAAAATTGGCAATCTTTTCTTATGTTAAGTGACCCAAAAAAAAACTGTTAATAAAGCGAATCGTGAATAAAAACTCTTGAAATATTCTTTCCTGCTAACTTATCCCCCGACTCGGGAGTTCTCAACGTATACGCAGGCAAGTCCATATTTCGGAAGGTATATCACCGCGGTGTATGTAGCCACTGTGTAATTTTAATAATCGATAAACCGGAACTAAGAACTGACAACCTTTGCCCCTTGGACGCAGCACAGTTTTAATCTTTCAACAAGATTTTTCCACCAGTAACATTTTACCCGTTTATTTGACTTGACCAGACAGGCAACCTCTAAATTAAAAGAATAGGGCCACTATAATGGCATTCGTGGAGGGCCTGAGTTTATGTCAACTAGTTTTTGTTCTTATTTTACTTACAGTTCCTATTTTTTACCAAATTTCTAGAGTCTTCAAGTACTATTTCAAATTAATCGTGTACTTTACAATCTCTATTTTAATTGGCCTTGGAGTCTGTATTTATTCTTTACCTCGTCCAAGAGATACACGTAATCATTTGTAAGTTAATCTTTCTCAAATTGGCAATGAATCTTTAAATAAATATATTACTGGCTAAGAGTGTAATTTTATAATAAATTATAATTATTTGTAGTAGGCCTAAGCCTAATCTAATTGACCAATTAAAATTAATACTAATTCTATTATAATTATAATGATACTCGATTTTTTGTTACTTAATCTTATATATTATGTAGGCCTATGCCTAATCATGCTTATAGTCTATAGTTATACTAGATTATACAATTAGGTAAATTCTAAGAACGAATGCCACTATTTTATCGAATTTCACGAATGTATCCCTAAACTAAATTCTAAATGTATCCCTATGCCTAACCTGAACCCTAAATCGATCCCAGATATGCCTAACCTGAACCTTAAATCGATCCCTCAACCTAACCTAAACCCTCACTGCAACTATAATAAACACACAAAAGACACCGTGGCATCCGTCCTTAAATTTAGCCTACAATTATATATACAGTATCACTATAACTATAAGCTAATAAGTATAAGACTAAGAAGACTATTTGTCCAAAAAAGTATGAGTAAGTAGTAATATGTTTACCAAGTTAGAATAAGAATCTAACTAAACTAATTAGATCTAGGCCTACTCACTCTAGTTACATAGATATAGTTACATAATTCATAGGAAATATTGAATTGGACAAATATCACTTACTTAGTAGAGTAGGTTTCTAAATTAAATAGTATTTGATCATGGTAGGTTTCTGAATAGTATTTGATCATGCAAGTTTCTGAATAGTATTTGATCATGGTAGGTTTCTGAATAGTATTTGATTATGGTAGGTTTCTTCATAGTATTTGATCATTGGTAGGTTTCTGAATACTATTGAATACTTGATAGTATTTGATCATGGTAGATTTCTGTTTCATAATGTTTTATTCCAATTTATCTTATTGGCATGGTTTATTTCATTTTAGCTTTGTATCATGGTGTGTCAGAGTTTTTCTACGGAGAGTGGTGGGAGTAGAGGTGGAGATACGAAACAGTGAAATTTTGAATAAATATGAAACAGCAGTTATCGTGATCAACCATCAAAGCTCAATTGACATGATCCGTAAGTTGATTTGGTACATTTGTAATTAATTACTTATTTTAACACAGTGGTATTGTTGCCTGCTTCTTGAACAAGAGATTCATAACCACCTAAGTCATTGGAAGACAGCAGCCAACTTTGCATGGGATGCTGAAAATCAGCTAACATCCCAAAATATAGTTTTACCAGTTAAGTTCAATTTAAGAATATTCAATATGTTTATTTCTTTCATATTTTTAATATTATTGTAGACACATTTAAGCAAAGATAAATAATTTTACATTATATTTGAACAATGGTGGAAAAATATTTAGACATGAAGGTTGGTTCCCAAACTTAGTTTGAAAAAGGTCAAGATATCTCAAAAAGTGTTGAGCTTTGAATTATTACAATAGTTGACTGACAAGTTTATTTTCTTCTCTTAAGTGAACATATGCCATGAATAATTACTTTCAACTCCCAGGGGAACATATGCCATTAATATTAATATCAACTCTTAACTCTTTCCATGCCAGGGGGTTTTCCACGTTTGTGCGGACCAGTTTTCGGCCAATGGAAATTTTTTAGGATGCTCTTATCTATTAATTAATTTTGAATACATTTCTTTTAGCAATATAACTGTATTTCATATCAAATTAAAGGAAATTAGACTGAGAATAATAATATGTACCAGATAAAAACAAATGACAACAATAGCTTAAATTTTTCTGGTAATATTACGAGTATGAGAAATTTTTTTATTTTTTTTTAATGTGCATCAAATCTGAACTTCCCAGACTACCATATGGTCTGTGTAGCTTGTATCCTATTCTGCTTCAATCCTCAGAAAATATATCCATTTTTGATCATAATGCATTTTAGATTTTGAAAATATTCCATTTAGTGACAGAGTTATACCCATTTTTGTAATGTTAGGAGGCGTAGTATCTGAATCCTCACTGTGGCCATAACAACAAAGTGATTTTGAAAAAAATGCATAACTTTTGAACTACTTGAGCTAGAAAGTTGATCTTGATGTTTGTATACTCCATCTCTATGCTCTATACATCCATGGTATCTTTATATTTTAAAATGTTTTGAAATTTTATGAAAGTGCCGACAGTGACCACTATTACTATCACTATCACCATTTTATTATTATTTCCATTTTGAATTTACCGTCCCATCAGAAAGCTGAAAATCATCACTGGAATCAGATTCAAATGATTCATGGTTATTGTCTGATGTTTCAGCATCAATAATTAGCAATAAAAGCTCTTTTGTTTGCTAACTGGACCATCTATGTGGTCTAGCAACAGATGATGTGCTTGGAGTAGGCGTGGCCATTACTTTGTTTACAAAAGGTTCAACACAAATTGAACTATTATTAGAAAAAAACACATGTAACAAGCCCTGCTTCCAACAGGAAGGAAGTAGGAAGAGTTATCCTTCGTTTAAGAACATAAAAAGTCCGATTAACAGCCACAGGCAACGAAAAAAAATACATGAATTATTTTGACAACATGTCGTGGCTTGTCACAAATGTGACCAGTCAAATTGACGATATACCGGGGCTTGGCATGGAAAGAGTTAAGGGAACATATGCCATTTATAATTACTTTCAACTCCCAGTGGAACACAGGCCATTAATAATAATTTCAACTCCCAGTGGAATATATGCCATTAATAATTACTTTCAACTCCCAGTGGAATATAGGCCATTAATAATTACTTTCAACTCTTAAGGGAACATATGCCATTAATAGTTACTTTCAACTCCTAAGGGAACATATGCCATTTATAATTACTTTCAACTCTTAAGAGAACATATGCCATTAATAATTACTTTCAACTCCCAGGGGAACATATGCCATTAGTAATTACTTTCCAACCTCTCTGGTCTCTTGTTATCTTCTGTAACTGTCCAAAATTTGTGACATCATCACTGTCCACCTCTCATGACAAGCTGTTTTTTGGGTCTTCGTCATCCTCTTGAGGGCTGCGCACAAGTGCTCGACTTGTTATGCCAACTTTAACCAACTTTAACAAAACAATTGACAAGTTTATATGAGAGTAAATTTCTTTAACTTTCTGTGATCAACTGCTTATTAGGGCCTGTCTCTCATACTTTAAATTGTTAACAAATACTGTATTGTTTCAAGCATGGGCTTCTCCTGATTAAAATCAGTGCTCTTAACTTTTGTTGATGTACGGTAACCAATTGTAAATATTTTAATGTCATTGAAATAAAAAGCTCGTTGATCCACAACAGTTATTTGAAGGGGGAACTTAATTATTTAAAAAAAAAAAAAATTCAAATATAGAGATTTTAAATGTTTAAGAGATTTTTATGTGTGGGCCTCTTATCTTTGTACACTCCTCACAAAAAAAATAACCATTATAGAAATAACTGCATCATTTTTAAAAATATTTTTTTATTTGTTTGTTAAATGATGCACAGTTATATCTGTAAAGGTTTTTCTTTTTGTGTGTGGTGGTTATAAAGAATAATAAAATAAGAATAAGTGTGGGCCGCTTATTTTTGTAACTACCACACACAAAAACAAACCTTTAAAAACTGCATCATTTTTTTAAAAACTACAGTATATTTTATTTTTGTGTCGTGACATGTTTACTCAATGAAAGAAAATAATTATATTCCACCGATTTTCTCCCAGCACTTTTCATGATGTGGCCAGAGAATTGTGTCAGCCTGGCCAAGCGAGAATTGTTATGGTACACTGGGCCGTTTGGTTTCGGAACCTGGATGTGCGGCACGATTTACGTGGACAGGGTCAACCACCAGAGTGCCCGCAAGACCATGGAATCGGCCACAGATCTCATTAAGCATAAAAAGGTAAGGGCTATGAACAGGTTTCATATTGTAAAGTGTTGAACTCTGATTAAATTTTGCTCAAATGAAAATTAACTATGTCATTCACAGGAAAGACTTTTAACTGTTTCAAATTAGGCTGTGACTATTCGTACCCGGGTACCAGAAGTGAGAGGTTGGGATTAAAAAACTTAATAAAATTTTTATTAGTTTTTTAATCCCAACCTCTCACTTCTGGTACCTGGGTACGAATAGCCACTTCGTTCAAATTATCTGTGTTGTACATGCATTGTGGTTATCCTTTTTGTTAAAATCATTATGTTACTCAATCTTTCAGGTATGTTTTAAGGAATGAAATTCAACAGATTTTTTTTTTGTAATACCCGGTATCAAAACATTTAGCTGTACGATTATCAACTTATTTTACTTGACACAGTTGAAAGTGGCCATCTTCCCAGAAGGAACACGGAACCACAATGGATCAATGTTGCCATTTAAAAAAGGTGCTTTTCACCTGGCCGTGACTGGACAGGTAAGATCTAAAAATAATTCAAACAGTGAATATGTTAAACATTTTTCAACAGAATTAAACTAAATCACAGATATATGAAAGTATGGCACATATTCATGCATGTCACTTGCTATACTAGGGTCACATTTCTATTTTGTATTAGTGGCTCTGTGGACCAATGGAAGCTGTTGCTGTGTATGTAATTATTATTACTACAGTGTCTTATATTGAGGTACCGCAGCCGAGGGCTGGGCTCACCACACTGCACATAAAAGTATTAGCAAACATAATCATGAAATTAAAAAATTACATACATTAATCTCAAGAGCAAATCTCAAGTTGGTGGTCAAGAGTTCAATTCCAGCCAGAGCCCAGTCAAGCAAAAGCATCACCAGCACCCTGGGTGGATGGGACTCGTTAACCTTGGATGGCAACTCAGCTAAGAGAAGGAAACTCTGAAATAAAACCCGGAGATGGAGTCTCGAAAGGCGGATGACATCGGTACAATGAAACATTCCGACAACTCCTGCGAAGTCACTGGTGCCAAGCTGTAGCATCCACATGATGTTCCCTTGGGTTATCCAGCAGCCTGGAGAGAAGCGATTTGCTGTTGGGAAGCAGCTTATAATCCTTGAAGAACAATCCCAGGCCTTGTGGATTTCATCCTCCGAAGCACACCATCATCACATTGTGACTGACGGTGGCCAGCAAAAAAAACCCCCCAAAAAACATACATTAATTTAATTAGAAAACATCTGTAGAAAAACAAAATAACAAGAAATATATATTCACCCCATCCATCCCAGGACGTTTTATATGTCAAGCCATGGACGGCATCAGTAATTCAACCAGATGTTACAGTTATATAGTTGGCACTGTCTAGTGTTGCCCTGGGGAAGCAAGGCGAGAAGGCTTAACTTTAAACATCTGGAACAGACTCTTCAATCTTCAGCCCATCTTTTGGATAAGGGAATCTATAGTAAAAAAAAACCTCAGCCACCAAGGACAGAAGCCAACACAAAGTGATCTCTTGACTATATGTCTGTACAGTTAACCTCAGCTCAGTGTCACCCATTCAGCATTTCTGTCCCAAAGTCATAGTGGGATGTCCCACAAAGCTCATAGTCAACAAACTTTGTAAGTCATTGGACTTCCTTTGTGCTCATTGTTCTCCAATATGTAGCACGGTTGCTCTATCATATTTGACTGCAAAATCAAAAGCTAAGTCGATAATTTGGCAAAGCGTGCTCTTGATGATAACCGAAATTTTTATTATTTCCCTTCAACGTTAGGTGCCAATTATCCCAGTGGTGTTTTCTTCCTATGAAAACTTCTACAGCAAACCAGAAAGGCGTTTTGATGAAGGTAAAATTATAGTCTTAAAACTATTTCAAAAGGAGGCTTTATAATAATTGTTTGGTTTTTTTTTAACTCGGAAAAGAACACTAGAATTAGAATATGATATAAAGAAAAAGCTTTTTTTTACTCAGCTTTATATCATGTTGTGATTTATAGCCTTCTCCAATAAATAAACGTTAAGCATATCAGAGGTATTTATTCAAAGGCGGGGTATACAGGAGTGGGTAAACAGGTTTCAGGGTTGCCAACTCCAAAAAAAAATAAATTTTCTGGCCAATATTCTAAATCTGCAAATTTTTTTTTTTTACAGTCAAACACAATTATTAAATACTGGTAAACTTATGACGCTGAATAAAACTAGTTAAAATAGCTGCACAACTGTTATGTCTGTGTATGCCTCGATGAGTCCACGTCATTTGAAAATAAGTTTTGAGCCTAAATTTTTTAACTTTATTCTATATCTGTTTCATCAGAGCTGAATTTCTTATGATTACGACCATACAAGTTAAACAAGTACGAAGAAATGACAAAAGATGAGATGTCTGGTTTTTCTCCCTACAAAATTCTTTGTAACTTGTCCAATTTTCTTTTACCGACACCCTAAAGTTTTTTACATACATCTATGACCACGTCATTTTAGGACGACTTTTTACGGACTGTCCTCAAAGTTATGAATGGCTAGAAACCCTGACAGATGTGCAAAAAGTATTTGATGAACACAGTGTATCACATCATTTTGAGTTTGAGTGTCTTACGATTGTGCCGTTCAGGTAGAGTCATCGTCCAGGTGCTGCCCGCCATCCCAACAGTTGGACTCACATCTGATGATGTCACAGCGCTCACAGAGAAAACGAGAGAAACGATGCTGGAGTGTTTTGATCGCATCAGCCAAGAGCTCGTCAAGTAAACACATCAACAGAACCAATAAGGTGTTCCACAGAATGATGTGGGTCTAAGTTCCACAGAATGTTGTGGATTTAAGCTCTACAGAATAATGTGGAATTGAGCTCCACTGAACAATATGGAGTGAGATTCACAAAATTGTGACTTGTGTTGTGAATGATTAAAAGAAATGAAGAATGGATGTGAGCTCTTATAAGAAGCTGAGAATGAAAGATTATAATTTATTTTCTTTATGAGTAAGGTTATTTTTTTTTTTTTTTTTTAAAATAATTTTGTAAAGGAAGTAAGACACCAGAAAGTCTGTCATCTACAAACTTCGGTTTCATGCTAATCTTAAGGTGTAATAAGGGGAGAGATTGCAATCAGGTTAGTACAAAATAAAATGAGTAAAACAAAGTAGGGTTAAACCTGAAGAGTAGGGTTAATAGGGTTAATAGGGTTTTTCAGGTTTAACCCTACTCTGTTTTACTCATTTTATTTTAATCTTAAGGTGTAGGTCTGATTATTAAATTGTTTAAAAAAGGATTGAAGGAATGTATTGGGTAATTTTGATTGAATGGAATGTGATCACTGGGAATTTAGAGGGGTGGGGGGTGGGAGGTGTCACTTGGTCAAATACCTCCATGGGTGCTCATTTCCCATAAGTATATAAGTTAGATGTATTCATTGCAGTCAAATGACTACTGTCATCATGCTGCACATTCTGCAATTTTTTAACTTGATCTTCCATTGTACATCATCATTTATCTCAGCGGTTCTCAACCTGTGAGTCGCGACTCATTTAGGGGTCGCATGACCCTTTTGCAGGGGTTGCCGAAGACTATCTTAAAACACATTTGCTCTTCAGTTATGAAGTAGCAATGAAAATAACTTTGTGGATGGGGGTCGCCATAACAAGAGGAACTGTATTAAAGGGTCCCGGCATTAGGTGAGGTTGAGAATCACTGATTTATCTGGTTTAGAATAAAATGAGCAGTCGTTTTTTTTACATTCTAACTAATGTGTAAAGTTACCCCGGTGGCCCTGCAAAATATGCCAGTTGATCTGATGGGGATTGGGTAACGAGGTAAACTGAGAGCCTAATGAGTTAATCTGATGGGCTTGGATGCTGGGGTAATTTGATTTGATCCTCTAATGGGGTAATCTGATGGGCTTGGATGGTGGGGTAATTTTATTTGATCCTCTGGGGTAATCTGATGGGCTTGGATGGTGGGGTAATTTGATTTGATCCTCTAATGGGGTAATCTGATGGGCTTGGATGGTGGGGTAATTTTATTTGATCCTCTGGGGTAATCTAATGGGCTTGGATGGTGGGGTAATTTGATTTTTTGTCTTCTAATGAAAGGGAATTGTACTCACACAAAGTGAGTCTTTGAGTCTTGCTTCCCAATTCTCAGGCCAAAAGTGTTGTCTTTCAAATCATCTTTGATTGAAATATAAAAGTCCCAGTCCTGAAAAATGCACATTTTTTGTGTGTGCACATGTGTAATTTGTTATGATTTTAAAAAACTATGAAATTTTTATTAAGCTTTAATGTGTAATAAGTGTGAGACATGTGTATGTTTATATATCACCATGGCAACATTTTGGGGCCAATGATGGAATGTGTTTGGTTGCTAATATAATGACAAAAATTGTGTGTTTGATTTATCCAGCATGACCAAAACAGTATTTGTGGCTGTCCAAAATTGCCAGGTAATCTTAAGGAATCTGCTTGTTCTTTACTATCACTAGGATGTTTCTGTTTGATGTTCAGCTTTAAAGCCACTGGACGTTTTGTTTGGCTAATATTGGTGTGAGTGATGTCCCCCCCTTGCCATGCACATCTTTAATTGAACAGTCCTATCTCAATGAACGTTTGTAAATACTGACAATATTTTCTTTATATCAGTTTAGTGGCTTTGTATAGTTATAAATACTTCATCTCGCCCATGATCCGTAAGACTGCCCATTCAGTTATTTTGACCAATCTGATCAGGCAGATTGTCCATGGCCACTACTAACGGGTCAGATAAAATGGCAGACGCTGGCCACTCTCTCACCGGCTGGCAGCACCTGAGAACATCTGTAACGTGAGTCAGTGTCAGGCTCATCTAGTTTCAGAGCTCACTGCCAGTGTGGCAACAAATGGTGTCTGCCTCTGCTGAACAGCCACTGGAACAGATTTTGTTCTGAAATGCTTGCTTTCCTTTTGTTAGTTTTAATATATATTTTTTTTTAATGCTCGTTCTGCCAGCGATCAGTGAATTTTGCTTTCCATTTATAACAAAAATGAAAACACATACCTGGTACAAATCATATAATATAGACCATGTTGATTCATTACAATTCATAATAATGCTGTAATTATGTCATTTGTGTCTGAACTCTTTGAGCATGGAGGGTTTTAAAAAAAAAAAATGTCTTGGACTCAAGCTCTGAGCTGTTTTGATGAATGTACCAGTACATCAGATTAAATTTAAATACCAGTAACTTAACATTTCTTAAAAGTGAATACAACAATGACTGCTCCATCTAAGGTTAAGTCCAGCAGATCATGTAGTCAATGAAAACAGGGGTTGGATGAGCTACAGGCTTGCCACACTAGAGCCAAGAGGTAAATTCAAAGACTATCTTATTATCCCAGTTAAATGCTAAGAGTAAGAGCCTCACTTTGACGTAGCTCTATATTTGCCTGTGCATGCACACCAAATAATTGAGAACTACGGCAATGTAAGCAGGTTTTCTGTATATCAAAAATTTTATTTTCCGACGACATTGTTGCATTTTTTCAAAATAATATTTATGTTAACACAACCGGTCTTCTATTTTTTGTGATAGACATAAATATGGCTGCCATGTCACGTCTGCCGTGTCATTTCATGTAATCCCCCAATTTAAGACATCCTTTTGGTTGTGATCCTTCGTCAAATTGAGATTTTAACCCACAAAACATTACTTCATAAAGAGATTTCTTTAGTAAACTTTAATTTTAATTAATGAAGATATTTTTATTTTTAAATTTTATCTTTATTTGGGCTTAACTGCAAGAGACAGTTTAGCTGTCACAAAATATTTTTTTTTTTGAGAATCAGAAATGTTTTCTATTGAAATACAATTTTTACCGACCATTTCTTAGTGTCAGGCACACTAATGTCATATTAAGCTATGCAAATATTCAACAAATATCATGACGAAAGCTTTAACATTGGACCTACTCCAAGCCATAATGGAACCAGATGTTGAGTTCGGTTCAACTACTTAATTCAATTTTATTTTTTATTTTCACTAATGGCTACTTTTATGGCTACTCATAATTTGAATCTATTAATCCATGCTCCATTAAAAATGAAGAAAGTCATATAGTTGTACCATGTGGACAAAAAATGTCATAGAGTTGTACCATGTGGACAAAGAAAGTCATAGAGTTGTACCATGTGGACAAAGAAAGTCAAAGAATTGAACTGTGCAGACACTTAAAAAAATTATTATTTTTTTGTCCATCAACTATTGCATAACTTGTTATGACCAGCAGGTTTCAATCCGTGTGCTACAACACATGTGATCACAGGTGTGTTGTAAATTTTTGAAACAGCGTAACAAAACTTGATAAGATAAGATTCTTTCATTGATCCAAATAAATGGAAATGTCTTCGTATTATGTTGTACATATTCACTTTCGTCACATAAATAAATACCTTTTTTAACCTAGACAACATTTTACGATTAAAACAATACAAACACAAGACATCTTAAGTATTTCTCTAGCTTAAGAATCAGCCATATACCCTACAGCTTAACTCCTTTATAATTCACTTAATTAGTTATCATTTATATTTGGGGGGAGCATGCTGGTAAATTCGTAAAGATTGGAAACAATAGAATTTTTATAACTTTCGATCCTAACTTTAAGGGACAGAATTCGCCCTGATTTAGCTGATCTTATGTATCTGTGATGAAGAGGTTGGGATGTATCATTAAAAAAAATCTTTAGTTTTACAACGGCATTTTTATTCAATAGGCCTTCAAGTTCAAGTGAAGGATGTTGAGTTTGTGTGATGTAACTTGCTTTTTTTTATTAGTCTATTTAATGATGTAACAAAAAATGTAGGAGAGCTCTTCTGAGCCGAGTGTAATAAGCTGTCCACTTAATTTGTCTGGCCCCGAGGCCTTGACGGCTTCACTTGTTTAAATAATGGACATCACGTCCAGTTCATTGATCAAATAATGTATTATCTTGTGTGATATTACTATCATGAAATGAATTCATCTTGTGTGATACTACTGTCATGAAATGAATTCATCTTGTGTGATACTACTATCATGAAATGAATTCATCTTGTGTGATACTACTATCATGAAATGAATTCATCTTTTGTGATACTACTATCATGAAATGAATTTATCTTGTGTGATACTACTATCATGAAATGAATTCATCTTTTGTGATACTACTATCATGAAATGAATTCATCTTGTGTGATACTACTATCATGAAATGAATTCATCTTGTGTGATACTACTATCATGAAATGAATTCATCTTGTGTGATACTACTATCATGAAATGAATTCAACATGTCGCTTTGAACGTTTTCAAAATCAAGACAGTCAAAAATGACAAATTCGTATATAAGTTAAGTTGTTAACGAAATTATTCACGTCCTCAACACACAAGCATTGCATTCTCAACACCCAAAACATCACATAACCACACAAGCATTGCATTCTCAACACCCAAAACATCACATAACCACACAAGCATTGCATTCTCAACACCCAAAACATCACATAACCACACAAGCATTGCATTCTCAACACCCAAAACATCACATAACCACACAAGCATTGCATTCTCAACACCCAAAACATCACATAACCACACAAGAATTACATTCTCAACACACAAAACATCACGTAACCACACAAGAATTACATTCTCAACACCCAAAACATCACGTAACCACACAAGCATTGCATTCTCAACACCCAAAACATCACGTAACCACACAAGAGTTACATTCTCAACACCCAAAACATCACGTAACCACACAAGCATTGCATTCTCAACACCCAAAACATCACATAACCACACAAGCATTGCATTCTCAACACACAAAACATCACATAACCACACAAGAGTTACATTCTCAACACCCAAAACATCACATAACCACACAAGCATTACATTCTCAACACCCAAAACATCACATAACCACACAAGAGTTACATTCTCAACACCCAAAACATCACGTAACCACACAAGCATTGCATTCTCAACACCCAAAACATCACGTAACCACACAAGCATTGCATTCTCAACACACAAAACATCACGTAACCACACAAGAGTTACATTCTCAACACCCAAAACATCACGTAACCACACAAGAATTACATTCTCAACACCCAAAACATCACATAACCACACAAGAGTTACATTCTCAACACCCAAAACATCACGTAACCACACAAGCATT